TGCTTGATGGTGTGGGTCTTCTCGCAATCACTTATTCTAGAGCACGTTGCTAGAGCAACGTTTTGATTGTTTGTTATAGAGCCAGGCACTAACCGAAAACCACAGTTGTCTCCCCTGTGCTTTTCCACCCTCTACTGGTGCCCAAGTAGGAAATGAGTAAAGAAATAGCCCATTCTTCTCTGGAGACATGAGACATATGATAGTTTTAGAAATGAATTGTAGAGACACAGGAATGAATGCGGGTAAGAACCGAGAACAGACCCATTGAGGGCATGAATCTCCACTCCCCTATGGAGTGTGGTGCTGAATGCTTTTTTCTGCTATCAGTAAATGTGTTAAACTCCTTTGCTAACTGTGGATGCTGTACATAAGAAAGCATCGGAATGATCCACAGAAAGAATAGAAATCTCTGATTCATAACAATTATTCTATTTTATTTATACTATTTATTTATATTCAAGTAGTTGATAATAAAAAAGTCCTAACCCTGCTCATGATCCACGCGCAAGTTTTGTATTATTTTCCATAATGGAATCGCCATATTGCAGTTTGCTAACAGAACCCCTACATCCTCAAGAAACTGCACAAAAAAAAAAATCTGCGTGAAAGGAAGGCTGCAAAATTAACTGCTCAAAAGCAGAGAATTTCAAGAATGGAGGCTGACTGAGCCGTGTTAATGAGGTCCTCTTATCCATGTTTGTTATGGTACGGACTTTGATTACCTGCTCACATATATTTTTCCTGTGACGCACTCAATTAAAACAACGCCTCGTCTCAAAAACCATGCTGGCTTTCTTTTTGTACAACTTAATCTCTGTGACTGTTTAAAACCTACATAAATTTGAGCTTTCTTCATTGAAAGCATGCATCCTGAAAGGGGGGAAGTGCTTCTTCATCTCCTTTGTACTGAAGAAACCATACTGAACACAAAAGATATAAGCAGATTGAGATGTGCAAATTTATAGTCATTCTTGCTATTAGGTGAAGAATATATCTTTTTTTTCCCGAAATCTCTCTCATGCCTTATTTCCATTATGTTCCCTATATTGTCTTTAGGTTTCTATTGTGATAAAGAGTTGCAGGAGCTCCCCCTAGTGCACGAAGTAATATTCGATGTAGCAAAGTTCCTATGGATGTGCTGAAATACGCCTCTGAAAGTCACCTTTTCATCCATCTTCTTCGCTGGTTAATTTGATGTAATAAAATATAGATTAATTTTCTGTACTGAAATTTCAGTAAGGCTTAGGTGCCATACTGATTTTTATGCATTTAAATAATTTGAGTGAGTGCGAAAACATGATTTGCCATTTTATCAACTCTAAATGCATTTAATAAAATTATATTGAAAAGATGTTTCAGTTGACAGAGAAGGACATAATCTAAGTGTTAATCCTCAAAATATTGCAATTTTCACCATTTCCAGGCAAATGAATATTCACTTATTTCAATTTTCAAGCACTTAAATATAGCTCTGGGCATTTGAAAGTACACTGTTTGTAAAGATGCCATTACAATTCACGAGATGCAGCCTTGAAGAGTCCACACAAGACACCAGTAATAATCATGTTCATTCACCATATTAGCTGCTGTAGCAATAAACACAATAATTTTACTTCTGATTTCCCTGTATTTCAGTTTACTTTTCCCAGATGACCGAGGAGAAGGCTTATCTTTTAACATATTCAGTAGATTGTCAAATGTGGAGTTTTTAGAGCATTAGCAGAATGCTAAGGGAAATGTTTCACATGCTCACGAAATTGCGAGCCTACAAGAAAAAATAAAAAGAGAGAGCAGGAGAGCAGGCAGTGTTCTAGCAAGATTATAGGTGCAACAACAAGGTGTTTGGAAGTGGTAACCTCTCCAACATTCACATGAAAACTGTGTTATAACAGAACTGATTTTCTGTGTGGATGGTTTATATAACTGCCCAGTGATATGTGTGCGTTAATTCCTATCCTTTCTTGGGATCTATGCCAGAGTCAGTTCTCATATACAATGTTAGCATAGGGTTAAAAAAATAGTTCCCTTTTATTTTCTGTTTTTAAAGTGGTCGCATAAAAGCAGTATGTGCAAATATTTCTAAATAATGTCTTCATGCAGTCCTTGCTGTACCAATTACTTTTAGGGGCTGCTCTGGTATTTTGGCACCAATTTCACATATGTGAAAGTAATTTGCTTAGAGGTCTGTTCAAGTTCTTCAATTTGCTCTAAGTGAAAGTGCTAAGGGTTCAGTCATTATCACAGCCTGTAACAATGTGGCTAGTGCAGAGGCTGTGCATATAGTCCCTGGCAACGAGTCACATGCTGACAGCATATGGCAAGGGAGATAACAAAGACAGGAGTGTGAGATGAGTAGGAGTCTGTGAAAAATACATTTTTCATATGTTAGTAATGAACTTCATGAAAAATGTGAAGGTCTTTCTATGTCATCAGAGCTCTTTAATGTAAACAAAATTGTTAGTGGGTCTGCTGGCTTACATAAGTACGCTTTGCATAAACTAAATTGTTGCAGAACCACCAGGGAAGGTTTTGGTACATCACTATCTCCAGTCCCAGCCATACCATATGGAGATGATACACAGCTGTAGGCT